TTCAGCGTCAGATTGGTATAAATGTAAGAATTGCGAAAAATGAGAAGATCGAAATTATTATTATGGACGCCGGAAGCGAAGTTTCCAAGACATTGGCAATGATTAAGCAAGAGAAACCAACTCAGATGTTGTTTTTTTTGATGAGTAACATTATAAAAAGTTAATTGGCTATGGTGGCAAAAATATCCAAAATATTATGAAAAAACACGACGTTTACATTAAATTTTTGAATGAGCCGGAGAGGCTCAGCCTTAGTTACACTGAAAATATAGTAGTTAGAACGCCGTTAAAAAATAGGAGCTCACCCGCAAAAATGAAAGAAGTTATGGGAAACGGCCGAACAGAAAAAATCAGGCCACTTTTAATTAACGTAATTGATTTTTGTGGAATGAAGCCAATAAGTTTCAAATATTTGTACGAAAATGTGCTTGTATTTGATAAAATAGGGTCAATGAAATATTACCGTGTGCCGGAAGATGAATCCCCCTCCAACGGTGGCGGAACAAGGGGGGCTAGAGTGGGACCCGCCCCCTCGACGCCCCTTTGAGCCCCCCCGGTGCGAGTTTAGAAAAATGCATTTTTTTGCACAAAAATGTATCAGTGTTTGCAATTTCACATTTTAACATATACCTCTAATTTTGTGGAACTCACGTGTCTTTGAATAAAAGAAAATACAGTAAATGTAAATACAAGTTTCAATGAGGTTTTACAGATTATGAGTAGCTTATTTCAGCCTTGTAGGAGGCTGCACTGATTTGTTTTTATCAGAATACAGCGAACTCTGTTGTTGTCACGTCAGGATGAAAATTCATTACGTTTTAGGAAGGTTGTATTGTTCTTGTTTTTGAAACTTGCTAAGACAGCTTTCAAAATACTTAAGTTCAAAGATAGTAGGGATTAATCAAATAGTAGTGCTGCGAAAATGGGAGTTTTCTTCTCTTCTATTTTTTGGGCAAGGGGCTAAGCCCTTAGCCCAAAATCCTGGCTCCGCCACTGCCTCCAATTTAAAGAATCGAGAGAAAAATTTATCAAATCCTAGGCAGTCGTTACGGCTGATGACTGGATTAGGCCGCATGCTTCATTTGAAAATAAGGTGTACGGTGATCAATATCAAGTTTTCTTGAGTCTTTTGTGCTCATTCGAATGATGTGTAATTTAAGAAAATCAAGTGTATGATAATGTTGCTACAACTAGAAGAACAAGAAATACAGAATTCTTCATTTTTTAAACAAAACTTGTTGGTACTATTTTTATTTTTTTCTCAACGAGGAAAAGTATTTAGAGGGCAAAAACTTGAATCTACAGGTGACTTTCGACCGAGAATTCGAAAATCATATTTTAAAAAAAATTATTGTTCCAAGGTATGATCGTCTTTTTACAGCATTCTCGATTCTCTCACGAAGTCTCTCTTTTAAGATCTTGTGAATCTTGTGAATTTCTATAAGATTCTTGTAGATATTTCGTGAGATTCCTGTAGAAATCCTATATAAGATGTGATCTCGAGGGCAAGCTCTTGTGACTAAAAACTAAACGAATTTTCAGAATTTCTATTTGAAAAACACTTACTCATAACATTAATCTTTCATCTTATGGCGGTATATTTGTTACGGGAGATTTTAATGCTCATTGTTCAAAATATCATAATGGCACAAGAACAACAAAAGAAGGTGAAAACATTTACAATTTACAATTTATTTAACAGTCTTGATTCAAACAGCTAGTTAAAGATTGTACTAGAGCTTCATCTAACACATCCTTAGATCTATTTGCTGCTACGAGTCTTTCTCTAACTGAACCTCGATTCTTCCGCCTCTCCGCCACTCTTGTGATCATTCTGTACCCTGTACTAATTTAACTCACCCTCAAATGATTTCAACATCCTTTCGAAGAACAATTTACAATTAAAAGTATACAGACTGGAATTATTTCTATTTTCTAACACACAAGTAACGTTTACCCTTCTGATTCACTTATCCCTTAACAGGAAAGGAATCGCCAATATCAAATTGTTTCTGTAGAATAAAATAATTATTTTCTTGTTCACATTACATTCTCAACAAACAGCAGCAAGCAAGTACTACGACAGCTCTGACGATCACTCGCGTATTATGTCTAGACGTCTCCGCTAATAAACTTGTGTTTACGCCCTAGCACACGGGGGGTAAGCCCCGGATGCCAACACACACAATGTGCTCACTACTGTCCTATGTTAGGACACAGATAACTGTGTCTGTTTGTCCGCTAATATTTGTGTATATATGGGTGAAACGTATAGCCATTGTACCGTCCTTGTGCCAATCGCAAAAAATAAATAATTTTTTTGTATTGCACGGACTTTGTTAAAAAATTTTCAAAAATAAAAAAAAGAAGATGTTATCGAGGTGACCATCAGTATACTAATCTTTCTATTCTTCTTTCCTCTAGAATAATCTCTATTGTATATGTATAAACGTGATCTCTATTGTATATGTATGGCGTGATCTATATTCTATACGTACAGTGTGCTCTCTATTTTCTCTAGTATATAAACGAGTGTTTTCTTCACTTTTTAATGGAACTGTACAGTTAACGTCAAGGCATCCCTTCTTCAATAAAATACTTTAAACATATTCAACCAGTGCTATCAATTGGTGCATCAAGCCGGCTTCTTGAATTTCAAGAAGATTTGCGACCCTGTTATCATTATTCAAAATCGACTACATTTACATGCAACTAGTCATTGGAGTGTGGCATTTATTTAAATTTTCGTTCATTGACAATTGACATTATTTTGTATGGTAGTAACCAGAACTGGTTTAGATTTATCAAAATTGAGTATTTATCAAGTGATATCAAATGAAGGACAAGAACAACAATTAGTTAAACCAGATGCATTAAATCCTGATGTTGGTTCAACACCTTTAACATTCACCATTACGACAACAACTACAACACCCGTTTCATCACACCAACCGATTATGACATCAACATCGACTTTCAGTGCTGAAATTAAATCACTACTTGATGATGAAACATTGAAAACTAGTGTCATTCCATTTCATGCTCAACCACAAACTCATTCAACAAATAATAATGATGCTAAAGAATTGGCTAGAATTCCTTACTATAATGGTACAACAAATATTTATGCTTGGCTGACAGCTATTAAGAGTGTTTTCATCGATTTGCAATATGATGAAACTACTTGGGCAAACAAAGCTAAATATTATTTATTAGATCATGCTGCTCAGTTTGTGTACCATAATGATGAGCAAATGAACGACTGGAATACATTTCGTAAATTATTGATTGACCGATATTCAGCAACAACATGTTCATCGGACCCAACCTGTCCAACTATTACCTTACAGCAACAAAAAACCTCTCCGTCAGATGTTCTGGCTGTTAAAGCACTTTATGCATTAGTTTTAGAAGATTTAAAAACACTACCAAAATTTTTAGATGGACAAACGAAATCAATTAATTCTTGGTTAGAAGAAATTGAACTGGTATATGATAAAGCATTAATTTCTGATGCTGATAAATGCCACCGAACCTTGAAATTGTTATCCAGTGCTGATGATAAATGATTGGAGTTTATTCGTCGTCAAAAATTGAATTGGAATGAATTTAAACAGAAATTAATCAGCAGATTTGAAGGAAAGAAAGATTCAACACTTATACAACTGGAAGATGATATTCGAAATCGACGTTATCATGATAGTGAATCCATGCATCAATATTATCCTGATATCATGAGAAAATGTGATTTGTTAGAAGAAGAATATCCAGTTTCAGATCGTCATCGTATTGATTATATAACACGCGGTTTACCTGATAGTATTCAAGATCAATTATTAATTCGAGAATACTCAGCACCGAAAGAACTATTAGAAGTATTACAAAAAATTGAAGAACGTCGTAAACGAGCAAATTTTGAACGACATGTTATTAGCCTTGATAATAATACTCTACCATCATTAGCAATAGCTACATCAACATTACAACCAACTTTACCCTCAACAACCAGTATGCAACCAATTACATCTCCTATTCAACGACCTTTTCGATATAACGATAATCTTTCTCATTATAATCAATCACAAAATTATCGTCCAACATCTCGCCCATCGTCATATTATAATCATCAACAACAATCGATCCAGTGTTATAATTGTGGGAGATTTGGACATAGGGCAGCAGATTGTTTTAAACCAAAACAACATTTAAACTAGATCCGAGGCCACGTAGTGATGGGTGTGTCCTCCAAAACAATCATTTAAATCCACCACAACGTTTTAGATCACCAGTAAATGTTTTCAAGCAATGAATGCAACAAAAGTTGATGTGTCTGGTTATGTGATATTAACAATAGATTTTGATGGACATTTGTCTGATGAAACTATTTATGTATCACCACAAACCAACACCGATTTACTTTTAGGACAAACATGGATTAAGAAATATCAAGCAATTCTTAATTGT